ACGAATCTGTACATCTTCTTGATATTTTCTTCGTAAATAGCTCCCTAAATTATCTGTTGTTTGTTTCTTACCTCTTAAGCTTCCGAGTTTTGACTAATTGGGAGAATAAAAGCTTTAATGTCCCTTCGTGAAATCAGTAGTCACTGCCGTGACTCCTGCCAAGTAAAAAAGTCACCGACTTACTAATATATACAGGAATCAGAGTTGCCGATTATGGGATCGATTTCTCTGCCCCAAACATCTGAAGCAATTCTGAATATCTCGTTCGAAAGAAAATTGTTTTCTTAGGTAGTGTGCAAAATTTCAAGATTTTCTATAAAACGGTTGCCAAAATATAAGTAACCTAGAAATGCAAAAAATGCCAATAAAAGCTTATTTTCTTGTCGTTTTTTTTTCATCCGGCATTGCAAACGCTCGTAGAGAAAAGCTAGAAGTCTAGAAAGCTTAAATTTTAAACTTAAACCTTTTCTGTTATCAGTGAGGTGCTGGCGAAACTTCCGGGTCGATAGGTCAATGTTCACGGGAGTTTCCCATAGAACTAATTCAATTTTACAGCTTAATTTTATGTTTATAAGAATAAAATTGCATGAAAACTAATGAATTTTCTTCAAAAGGTTACTCAGAATTACAAAAGTTCAAATTTATGCGAATTAAAACTTTTTATAACGATTTTTGTAAACGGCGTATCGAAAGCGCGCGTTCGATTGACAGCGCATTTGTTCGGCGACGCGTTCAGTCGGCGGTCACCGAAAGCCGACCAATCTTATGCCTTGATGTAATAATATAATTATTAAGGCTCATCAGTGACCAAGAGGTTCCGTTCCCTGAGCACTGTGAGTTCGGTCGTGGGTTCGCGGCTCGCCAGGACGGACTGGCCGCGTGAAGTTTTCCGGGTTTTCTTTCTCCACGTCTATAACGCCTGAATAAGGGTCACTTACCCTTAAAAGACTTCCCGGAAATCATTATTCTCCGCTTCCTACGTGTAAACAAATAGACAATTACTAACTATGTCACATTGCAACTTACCACTGGGCACCATAGCATAGTAGATCTTGCCCAACATAATAAAAGACAAAACAATTACTAAACAAAAACAATTGATATCCAAACAAAAACATCTGACATGTAAAAAATTTCGTCAAGTAAAAATTTATGACAATTTAGACGACGGTCAAAGTTTTTCTTTGGTAAAAATAAACTTGGAGCTTGGTAGCCGTGCCCTCAAGATTTTTACCAGAAAATTTAAAATGTTTGCTAAAAAATTAATAGCAAATGGGAAAAGTAGCGAGGCATCGACAGTTTCCTCGATACTCTTTTACATCTCAGACGTTTCTTTTTGGATAAAATATTAACATCATAGACATTGGATGTCATGCATGGTGTTGGAATTAAATGTCTTGTGTATATCTTCTTTGTGTAGACTTGAAATTTAACTAAATTAATTTTGTAATTACAATTTATGCATTATAGAATAATAATTTAGCGTTTGATTAAGTCTAGATTCACTCCTGTTATCTCAGCCGAATCCTCAACATTTCTAAAAATTTACGGGTTATTTCGAATCACCAGTTTGCTGTTTAGACATGTCAATCAGAAGATCTAATTCGTGTCCCAAGGAAAGATAGTCTCTGTTTACTTCTATCCTTGATAACATATTTGTATTGTTTGTTTCAGTAGGTTTTGAGCCCACCGGTGGCCAAGTGGCTAAAACTATTGTACACTGGTAGTTAGTCGTGGATTCGCGCCTCGCCAATGGGGTGGCTACATGGAGTTTCTGGGTTTTCTTCACGTTAGTAACACCTAAATATGGGCCAGTTTCTCGTAGAAAGTTCTCAAAGGGAGGAGATCACCAGCGTTGCCGTCCGTATACTATCTCCGCTAAAACTTCACATTTCAAGTAAACTTAACTCCGTTCCTAAATTCTGTAGACGTTCTACCGTCGAGATATAAAATAAATTAACACTTTGTGTTAAGTTCAAAATTGAATTTTCTCCATAGATTTCCATATTTACACTGTCACTTTCAGGAACGTTACACAAGACATACTTGAGAAGGTTTGGCGAGAATGGGAGTACAGTCTTGGCATTTGCTGTGCCACACGTGGGGCACAGATCGAATTGCATTTAAGGTCAGTACAAAACTGCACATATCTTCTTAATTAATTAACAATGGTGGTAATATCAAGTATTTCTGTTCAATATTTATGAAAATATAATCTTACGAATTCATTTAATAATTTGTGCACACCCTGTATTTATACACTCTTTAATATTTAATATAAATATTACAAACAATTGTACACGCCTAAAGCGAATCGCGTTTGTATCTCTTTTCTAATAACTTTACTTACATCACATGTAAGTCACAGGCCTCCAAAAATTCTTAATCTGTCATTAATTTCAACGTTTTTAATGGTTAAGTGATAATACTTAAAATGTCTACGAGAACTTCCAAAATTGAAGATTTTCAAAAATATCAATGTCATACTGTATATTACTATCCAAATTGCTGGATGGAAGCCTAACGAGTTTCCATAGAACAGGAATAGACAACATTTTAAAAGATTCCTAAGTCGAAGAAAAATTTCATAGGACAATGAAGGAAAATGTGGAGTAGCCACCCCATAAACGTTGCCGAAAGCTCAATTTTTCTAAATATTACTTGTAGTAATAAAAAGTGCACTTCAACAGTAGGCTATACCGTTATGTCAGAAGTATCAATTACGAAAAGTCCCAAACTACCAAAAACACTTTGCAAGAAATCCAGAGGCAGTTTTCTGGGATCTAGAGAGATTGACCAGGCAACTCTCCAGATCTGACTCTCATAGTGACTACATATCTAGAGAAAACTTCAGGATAATATGCTCGTTATCCGCATCCAACAACAAAAGATCAATTGATTACATGTTCAAGAAGAATGGTCATTCGTTACCAAAACGATACCTTCTAGTTGGTTGGAAGTTTTTCCCAGGAGAACTCTCTAGTGCATTTACAAGAATGGACTTTATGCTGATTATTAGTAATAATAATCATTCCTAGTCCAAATATGTAATCGAACAACTGATTTACGATAATAAAAATAAATATCTTATTTAAAGGAGTCAGAAACACTTTTTGTGTACCTTGTAGCTTTGCTTTTATTAAATAAGAGTAAACTATAACAGTGTAGCGCTTATAATGGTAAATAAAAACTCAAAATCAATTTGCTGGCTTTCAATTATTTATTAATTTATGTAGCCAATTTTATAATTGGCTACATAAATTAATTATAAAATTTTAAAATAGTAAGATTCTACGTTACATCAAACAATGAAAAGTTTAAAAAAAGAAAGAAAAACGAAATAATAGAAATTAAGATTTTTTTAATAAAATATATAGTTCATTGCTTACGACATTACATAATAAAAACTTGTTGGCATCAACCTTAATTTAAAAGTTTCTTGTTCGACCTGTTACTTGTTGAATAATCGTCGCGCTGGTAACAACAATGGTCGATTATCCACAAACTTCATATACTGTGAGTAGAAAATACCGTATATTATTTATTACTTTAAAAGTATTAAAATTATGTTATATTTATATGTGTCCATTAAATCTGTTGCTTAATTTTAAATAGGAAATATTTTATACTTATTAAACTATTGAAAAAATTGTCTTCATGACCTGCATTACTTGAATACATTACATAATTTATTATTTACTTATTTTATTTTTCATAAAAAGGGGTAAATTGAAAAATAATTTCGGTTATATCATCTTTTTAGTTTACATTCTGTACTGTTATTATACAAAATATTTATTGTAAGTTATATTTATTTACAAGTATTAAACTATAGACTATAAATGAATTTCAATTTCAAAATTAATACTTAATATAAAATCTGATCATTTGTTTCATGCATTATTTATGCTAAATTTTGTTTATTAAATTTATGTATTAAAAATATTATTTAAAATAAAGGAACATAACTTTCGACTAGACTATATTATTCCCTTACTAAGAAAAAAAAACCATTTAATTATACCAGACAGGAATATCCGGCTTTGTTATATAAGCTATGCACGGAAATAATATTATGTGACTTTTTTTCAAAAGCGCGTAATTTTGTCGAAAAGGCTTCCTGTTTTGAGAAAAACCTGGCAAGTCTAATTCTACTGCACTCGCCTAAAGTTACTATCTGATATGGATATTTTTCTTAGAAGAAGCTAGTCCCAATAGTTTTGAGATGTAATCTGTGACGATCCAGAGATACTGAGAGATGCTCAATACTTTTATTGTACCTAACTGCGACACGTTAGTCAACCACTTTCATGCAAGATGAAACGCTTCCACATATCCGACGCTGAATACAGTAGTTTCTGCAACATTTCACCGATAAGAGAGTAATTAGTCATGTGTTTCCTACCGCGTACTCATTCCGTTTCCGGAACCTTAATCCATGCGATTATTGGTCGTAGGGATACTTAAAAAGTGTGATTTATCGAGGATACGTTTCAAATTTGGCAGTCTTAAAAGACACCATTACGCTATACATGCCAAACATCACAGAGAATCAATTAAGTATCGCCTTCAGATTTTCGTCATTAGAATGGGGACCAATTAAATAATATACATCTCTTTCGTCGCTAAGCTCTCAGCGTAAGATGAGTGTTTTGTAGAAATAAAATTTTTATTGCTTGCAGCGCCAAGTACCATAGTGGTAATTTTGGTACTATTTTTTAACAGAAATATTTTTCTCATTTCCTGAAACATCACCATATCAGATTCGGTTGCATTTAGACTGTTAAATATCCCTTTGCACAGCGTTGAATATCAGAATAGAAGTACTTTATGACATCCGGTACATCATTAGTATTTGTGATAAGTACATACGAAACTATAATAGAATATTTTGAATCTATCTTTTAATTCATAAGAACTATTATAATGAAGCAATTTCCCTTGTTATCAGTCATAAATCATTAGATCGTTGTAATTGGTCAAAAAAATATATGACGTCAAACACAGGTATGTTCGTTTACAAGGTCTAATGATGTCAAATGTTCTACCTCAATCAGCATTGAGTTCTCGTTTAGTATATATAGGATTATATTTAAATATTTTTATATAGTCTTATATTTACGAGTCATGACACTTAATACTCCAAAAGTAAGTTTTTTTTTTAATTATTAAATTAAAAGTTTAAAGACCTGGTATTCCTGAAGTTTAAGGGTTAGTTTATGGAATTTTAAATATGGAATGGATTCTAACACAGTTTTATTATTTTTTATTTAAAAAATAGTAAATTTGCAGAAAATAAAGTAAAAAATGTCTCAGTTAATTTTCTATGTCTAATTTTATTTTCATATTAGTTAATGCAGTATTTTAATTTTCATTAAAGTTTACCTGTTATATGTATTATTAATTTAAATTTAGAAAATATTAGTTTTTTTTTAAGGATGTGCAACACTCTTTATATTCACAGTTTAACAGTCGAGTTATTATATTTTATAGCCTCGTAATTATTCCTATGAAACTATTCACGGGTGTCGTATAAGTTTATAAAATAAAATCATAAACAACTAGCGATGAACGAGCTTTCATTTTATTAACAATATAAATTGTAAACAAAATTTCTGTTATAAATATTTGTAGCAGGTTTGAATCAATAATAATACTAATAGAATATTTACAATGTTTAAAACTAAATATAAAGTAAAATATAATTTTTGTTTAATTTTACTTATCGTCTTAGATATAACTGTCAAATTATACAATCAAATAAAATCTTCGTCAAAAATTTATAGCAATTTATGAAAATTGAATCCACATTTGAGTAATATATATAATTTAAAAGGATATATCCCTTATCTTGATTTATACTTTATTTTTAGTTGCAGTTACAAATCTTTTTCTATTTTAAACTATTATAAATAATTTATTATATTACTTAATTCACTGTCGAATGTTCCAATTCATCTTTTAATTCATAACGCTTAAAATTTATTAAAAGTAGTCTAACTCATAAAAACAAAATCGTTTTTTGTTTTAATTTAAACAAATTGTCATATAAAATTACAGTAGAAATATAAAAAAAAAGTTTCTTTTAATTACAGTAGTAGTCTCCTTATATATATATATATTTTTGTAAAATTTAGCTTATAAAAGATTTAATAATAATAATGTATAAGAATCAATTTGACGAATAAGATATATTTGTCAGACATATTTTTCATTGATAAAATATTGTTTAACAAATTGTATTGCAAGTCGCATATTCTTAACAAAAAATATAACAAGCAATTATTTTTGTTCGATACATCAATAACGATTTTATAATTTTTCTTTTTTAATAATACAAGTAAGATCTATCGATATAAACTAGATATAATATTGTGATATAATAAGTTACATTATACAAAGTAAAATCTTGTTTACAGATCATCAAATGTAAATGTTTATTTCTCAACGTTTTAAATTTCATATTAAATAATTTCAGACATTTTTAAATTCAAAACATATATTAATTTAAATATGTAGAAAAATATCGTTATAAGATATTATTACTTACAAATTAAATTTATATCCTACGACCTAATAGTGATTATAATAGCATTTTTCTTTTAAACATTGATTAAAAATGATAAATAGAAAATAATTTTTCTGTTTATTTTATACTACATCCATTGCATAATATAAAAGAATATATAATAGGAAACGTGAATAATCATTTAAATTTTTCTGATTTATTTGTGGTTTCTAGGTTATCCTGTACTTTATTATACAGCTACATGAACTATTTAAAAATAATTTTCAAAATTATATATTATATAAAAATAATAATTTTATGAATATAATTTTTTGTAGAAATAATTTAAAATTTTTTTGTATTTATAATACTCAATTAACCATTTTAAAAAGCAATATTTTGTAAATCCAAATTTAAATTATAACTGAGTTTATTGTATAAAGAATAATTAACGAAGTTAAATTATCTTAGAACTGTAATTATATTTAAATAGTTTCAAGGCAATATTCAATAACTGTTATTCAGAAATAAAACATTACTAAGCTTAATTTTGAAATAAAAATCGCTACTTGTTTACGTGTCGATACGCTTGATAGGTTTGTTTTATGTCATTACTTTCATACTTTTTTTATTTACATTAATTTGAAAGGAACAGTCATATAATTTAAATAGGTTATTTAGCTTAAGGTAAACAATATAAATATTTACAATAAATTTATTTTTAAGAAATACATTTTATAGATTACATATTTTAATATTTAAATGAATTGAAATGAATAATTTTGTTTGAATTGCATGTACAATACCTATACAGGTTTCCTTAAAATATTTTCAGTTTACATATACAGTATATCAAAACCCAGCCAATTTTTATCTGTAAAGTTGTTTTCTTTAATTTAATATTCAATATTATATAATCCCAACATCAAAATGAATAACCTTGAATACTCCGTAATTTTCTCAAAATTTCTTGTTAAATCATACAACAAAATAGGAAAGAATTTTAATTATATTTTCTGATTTTTCTATTTCTATAACACGAACAAAACTTAGATATGATTTCTAATTAACAGAATTGAATTCTCAAAACGCAATTCATAAAGTTTATCGTGAGACCTTTGATCAAAATTACCAATAGATTTAGTGCATTACATTTACGAGCATGACTTTGAAAATACTTGTTTTTGGAATCGTGCTCATAATTTACATTATAGATACGAATCTAGACTTTTATGTTGTAATTAATATTAAAAAAACCTAAGAATTGACGTTTCAGTGTAGGCCTATACAGAAGGTTAAACCTTCTTAGATCTTTAATTATATTTATTTACTTAAATAGTTCTCATGTTAGCTATTCATCAAATATTCGTAATGTAATATTTTTATCTTCGTAATATTCGAAAAATGAGTTTATCGTTAAGTTTTATATTAGGAAATATATAATACTGTACAATCTTTTCCAAATTGTGGTTTGCGGCCCAGTACCGGTTCGTGGGGAAACTCCGTTCACAGAAAACGTAAAAATTTAAATGTTAAACAGGAAAAAGTAATGATATTTTTTGATATTGTACATATGTGATATATTTTACTTCAGGCTTCTTGAGGCATATATAAATTGCTGAAAATTACTGATAATATTTAAAATTTAACAAGTATGAAACTTAGAAATTTAACATTCATGACATAAGATTATTATATTAACTCCATATAATTCTCTTAAAAAATGCTTTCATTATTACATTACACTTCTTTAAAATGTTTAGAATAATAATATGGCAAATTTTTATAGAATTAAATATGATTATTCTTTCTGAAATTAACTAAAATTAAAGATTGAAATCAGAAAAGCCTGGCAAAGCCACGCATGTTAATCTAAAATTTCCAGTTTAAATTTCCCATAAAATTTATGTATAATTGCTCAATTTTTTTTTAATTATCTTGTATTACTGCTAAAACTAAATAATTCTAATGTATTTTTAGAAATTGCGTATTTAATTTGTAAGATGTTTTAGTCGATATTGTGAAACAATAAATAAGTTCAAAGAATCTTTATTTCATATCGAAATAATTAAAATTTATTTATAATGTTAGCATGAATTGATAAGCGTATATATCAAATAAATAAAATTTAATGTAAAATGAATTTATTTTTCGCGAAAGATTTGAATTTAATGAATCAAAATTGCGAAATATTTTAACATTTATCACTTATAATTTTTATATTAATTCTTAATTAATTCTATATTAATATATAGTATGGATTTATAATTTAATGAATTAATGAAATAATGAATTTAATATTTAATTAATATTGACATTTATATCATTTTTCCTCGCAACGTATGAAAAGACGACGACTCCATTTTATCTTATATTTGTTTATAAATTCTAAAATTATAAAAATTATGAAAAATTTTAATTTCGTAAAGTAAAATATACTTTTATTTTCCATTATTTCTGATATTTTTTTCACTATTCTAGAGTTTTATTTTCGTTATGTTACAATAAATTGCAATTTTTTTCTAAGATAGATGAATTTACACGATTCTTTTCAATCAAATTGTTTCAGATACTAGAACATTGATTTTACAATAGTTTTACAATACAAAATATTAAAATTCTAGTGGTTTTCTTTTGAACAGAAGAATGGATTTTTTTTTTTTATAAAAGTTGTCTTTCTTTTTGAATAAAAATTCCATAGTCACGAATGGGGAAGATTAAATGACTGCTATATCATATTCTGCGTCAAAAGCTGTGCAAGAACATATTGCCCTCATGTATAAAACTTAAAAGTTCCTGGAATTTCTTATGAATTTTATCGATTTGGTGTCAATATACATTTCAACGGTTTCTTGATAAGTTACAAAGCATTTTCTGTAGAGAAATCGAAAAATCATTTTTGAGTTTCATTCGGCTCGACTTTATCATCGATATATTTTTACACAGAATGGATTCTGGCTTTTAAAAATTCAAAACTAATTTACAATAAATTTTGAATAACAAATTTTGCTGTAAATCAATTCTTATAAAACTTATGTAGAAATTCATTTTTCGAATACGTTGTGAAGTTAACTTTATTTTTTTAACTTTATAATTAAAAAACTATTAGATTTCAGATAATTTCTTTTGTTAATCTAAGAACTAACAGTGGAGGAAAAGAACAACCAATGAAAAAATTCCTCATCCATTTGTCAACCTTACTGAGAGCCAGTTCCATTTGTACGAAGTAAATTCGAATACATTTCGCATAATTAAGGGACATTTTAGATATGAGCCAAATAAGCACTTATTTAAGATGCCAGAATTCTGAGATACTAAGAAGTTGATGGAGATTCGTAAATAGTAAAAAAATATATAAGTTTACAGCCAGTATGACAGTGCTAATATAATATAAATTGGTTAAGGGCGATGCAATTCCCTGAGTCAAGAATGCAAAGTGAAAAATCTAATCTAGTAATAAAGTTAAATTAATTAAAACGGATGCACAGATGTTAATAAAAAACTTTTTTTTTAATATATTGAACCTTTTATATGGAAATGTGTTTGTGCAAATATAAGAATACGATGATTCGGTTGAAGTTTTAACTCTACACCCAAATCGTAGAAAATATTCATGATAACAAAGTTAAGTGTATTTACGCATCTACTGTAAATTGTATTTAAACAAAAAAGGAAAATAATAGAATGTAGAAAGTTTATAAACTCCCAATTTCAATTTTACGTTAGTTGAATACTGTACTTTTTTAAACTTTGGATGGGAATAGCTTTACTTTTTGTAATAAGGCATTATCTTTATCAGTTCTCTTCCACTCTCAGTACTTACGAGTTAGCCGTTTTGATTAACCTAAAGGAGCATGTTACTTTTAAAATACAGTACTTACCTTTTCAGATACAGTGTTGCCTTGTATTTCAAATTTAATTCGTTCCAGAACGCCGTTTGAACTCTGAATTGTTCGAAGTCCGAATCAACCTTTTCCCATAAGAAATAATGGAAAGTGAATTAATCCGTTTCCAGACCCTAAACAATATCCATTTAGATAACTTAAACAGCAAACACATAATTTAAAGTAAAAATAACACATTTAAATGCCTTAAATAATAAATTAAAACATAAAAACAGTAATACGTAAATACTGTATTAAAGAATAAAAAATGTGTTTATTATATCTTGGTGAGGAGTGATATCCCGTTTCTTAGGGTCGAAGTGATATCACCATATACTGTGGAAGTGATATCACCAGCAAACTGCTTCTCATTTATTCATACTAGGTTTCTTTCATTTCTTCAATGACTTGCGGTCTCATGGTCATCAACATTGTCACAGCTTTAGCCGTATTTTCTGCTTTTATTGCTTCCTTGTTCTTAAATTAAGAATGGTGCATACGGTCTTCAGAACAAGGCAACTTAAACATGGCTGCCAGATCCGTCAAACATATACTGCTTTCACGCTTCGCGATAAGTTCCTTTTTTACTCCAATCATTCATACAACAATCTTCCTCTTAGGCTTCGTTGCTTCTATAATGTTCTTGGATGTCATGATTAATCGTTAGGGGTTATATGTATATAACCAAACACAATAAAATGAAAGGGTGAAAAGCACTGAAAACACACAAGCGTTAAGGTGCGACTATGCACAAGCGAATTTAGTAGCGAGCGAGAGGTTGCGAGCGATATAGCTTTCGCAAAGAAAATCATGCACAAGCGAGAAGCGGGAAATCTCGGCTGGCGTGAGCGAATTTCTGATTCTCGCACATATCTGACAGGGTTTGATATTTATCGCGTCTCGTTTCTTCTCGCCACGTATTCTCGCTCGCTCGGAAAATTCATAGTCGCATCCTAACACGAAATGCTTTCACAGCGAGAGCGAGAGGCGATTTGGACACAAAAGATGGCACTTACACAGCGAGTGCATTTTTACTTTCTCGGATGTTATATGTAACAGAAAGAAAGTATGGCAATAGGACTTTTACATTTTTGGACGTCGAGAAATGCAAAAAATCGGGGTTTTCGGTATATATGGGTGTTATATATGGATATATATGGGTAAGTATATGTATAACACGATTTTGTTCACCCTCTTTGAAGCTTAATAACTCCTGTGCTTTTTGTCGAAAATTTCTGAAATTTTGCAAGGGGATTTGCTTATTAGAAGGATTGATATAATTAAATTTTGGTGGTTAAAGGTCAAAAGGGTGGAGAGTTAAAGGGGGTCGTGTGTATCTCCAGTAGGGTTGGACCTAATGACGATTTTACTCGTTATTAGCATTTAGTTTTTTTTTTATAAAACCCATCTTACCCTAAAAATTAAGCTTTTTTCCATTTTATAATAGTTAAAAATATAAGATATTTTAAATAAAATATGATAACAGATGACTGGGAAAGTTAAGCAACTCGTTGCTGGTTTATTTTACTGAGCGCGCAGTTCGAACGTAAAAGCATCGTTCAAACTCAGGGTCGAATTTCTCACGAATTTGAGTTCAAATTTTGGGGTTGTTCGAAGTACGAGGTACCAGTGTATTTGAAAATCCGCCTATAAAGAGAACTTTCTCAATCCGCCAAAAGTCCTGCTTTTCTAGTTTCAGATTAATTTAATTAATTAATTTAAAGAGAGTTTCCAATTATTCAGGCAGATATTTGTCCATCAAAATTCGAATTTGAATGGAAATCTGCTTCAATTGATTTCATTCACTCTTTAACGAAACTCATTTGGAATGACGTTAAGGATAATAAATCCAGCTTGTTCTTTACCTCATTTTTATATTATAAAATAACTTTCATTTTAAATCTTATTTTCTAAATTTTGATTTTTATTTACGTAAATTTTTACGAAAGTATTGGGATTTGATTCACTTTATCCGATATTACTTGAAAATAATTGAAACAATATAATCGGCGTATACTAAACCATTGCACACTCCATAAAACTAGGCCAAGATCTTTGAAATTTCCAAATCGACCTTAACCAATTTAAAATAGGCTAAATTATATGTGAGTAAGCATTTACGATAGATTAGTTAATTTCAATGGGTTTCAGACACAATCATCATCATTCAATATCTTCAATTATATAATACGAAACCTGATACAAATTTTTACATATTAATTAATTTTAAAATAGCTAAAATTAGTAATATGACTATTTAAAAAAATATAATTATTCCGTGTAATGTAAACAAATAAAAGTGAAAGTAATTTTATAAAAATTTCATTTTAACGTAGGATTTTTATCAGATTATTTAACGACAGGTCTATATACAATCAAATCATTAAAATGTCATAATTACAATACAAATTTATAATATGTAAGTGTAATTAAAAAGATCTATCATGATTTTGATAACAGATGAAAAATTGCTTCTTGATAAAACGTGGATATAATTAATGGTTCATAATTTTGTGGGTAGTCGTGGTAGTTTTTTTTTTATTCATTTAGGATGCTTTTTCAAGTCTGAATTTATATTTTGTGCTTCAAAAAAATATTCATAAAATTAGTCAAATGGTAGACTGGGTCTCCCAAAGCAGTAGACTACCATTTTAATCACCTGTGTTTATTCTACATATTTAAAAATGGATATTCATACAAATGCCTTTGAAAGTATTACATTACGATCTCGGTAATCTGACATATTAGAGATCGGATCAGCGTCGGATTAAGGAGATCTCCTGTTTATAGAAATTAACTGTTATACACTAAAAACGATTGTTAAAAATAATTTACAAAATATATTTCTAAAATCTTATTATACTGTTTTAAGGCTTGCTTAAAATTGTTTTACTATTTATACACTTACATTGTATTAATCTTATTTTAAATAATATATTACAGATGAGTAGTGTAATTTATTGTTAATAAAATATGGTGTGTAGTTATCTACATTAAAATATATATACAGCAAAATACCCTTTTTTTAGAAATATAGTCATTGAACTAATAATGTACAGGTATAGTATAACATAATATTGGTATATGATACTACTCTGTTAATTAATCCTCAAAATATAATTGAAAATTCGAATCTAACTTTCGTATTAATTGAAAGGTATTATAAATTATTATTTAATATTTGCTTTCTTTTAATTTATTATAATTTATATAGGAAAATGAAAAAGATATTCCAAAACGTGAAGTATGGGGAAGCAAGGCAGAATTTATTCTTTCGTGTGTTGGTCTTTCTGTAGGAATAGGAAATGTTTGGAGATTTCCTCACTTAGCTTACGAAAATGGCGGAGGTAAAAATAAATTATTTTTACATGAGTAATATTTAAATAAAATTTTTTAAAATAAAAATTCATTTAATTCGTTAATTTTCAGGTGCCTTTTTATTTCCTTACGTTATTTTATTACTTTTTGTTGGAAAACCGATGTATTTTTTAGAAGTGGCTTTGGGGCAGTATTCTAATTCAGGTCCTACGACTGTTTGGAAATGTTTTCCTCTAGGAAAAGGTAAATAACTCTGTTTTCATTGAGTTTCTATTGAATGTTGTTCATTAAATTACTATCGCTTTTGGATAATTTCCAATTACTGAAATATCAGATAACAAAAAACTTTATTTAATGAAGAATTAACGTATATTACTCTTATCATTAATTAAACATTGTTATCAATAAGGAAATAATGTTTTATTTAATCAGATTTTTTAAATTTACGCAATCATTCATTAAAATTTGCTACATTTTACTATTACCAAGTGGAAAAAATTGTATTGCCCGTGTAATAATTTACATGTTAAAATATTTTTAATAATGTAAAATTTTCTTATTTCAAAACAGATCTTACTTTAAAAATAATTTTATGCTTAACATTATAATTAAATTATTTTCATTTTTCTTTGGTGCCATCAAATATTACAGGATATTTGAGTCAGTGAATGAATGAGTGAGTCAGTCAGGACAAGCAATAAAAATATAAGATATTTTAAATAAAATATGATAACAGATGACTCTGAAAGTNCTTTACATTTCTGTGTGCATATGTTTGTGTTATTTAACATATATTATTATGCAAATTAATAAAAAAATAACTTAAAATTAAAGTAAAATTTGTTTATTTTTGGTCATGTGTTCCCCTTTCCCTATTTACTCTATGTTAAAATGACCTCATTTAACACTGTGTCGTTTTAGTGGGGGATGTGTTCTTAGACGACAAAGCACTAAATGAAACAGTGTTAAACGAGGTCATTTTAACATTATAATTAAATTATTTTCATTTTTCTTTGGTGCCATCAAATATTACAGGATATTTGAGTTGCCATTTGAAAAAATTGCAGACCTATAAATTTCCACTGTCGTCCACCTGTCTGTTTTTCCTTAATCTCGGGAACGAGGTTAGAAAGATGAAAAGGGAGACCAGATATGGAAAGGTTAGGGACAGGAAGTCCCAATTAATTATATATGAACTTCCTTTGGACCGGAAGTTACGTTGTTTCAACTCAAAAAATTTCCCCTGAAAAGAGTTAGATACTCGTAGATAACTTTATTGTTAAAGGAAAAGTATGATGTGCAGGGGAAAGACACTACAACACTAATTTGAGGTAGAGAGCATATATTTTAAATTAAATTTAAAAAATATGATTAAAAATAGCAGTCGGCATTGTGATGATGTCACAATACATAATTGCTCGTTACACTTAAATTATTCTTATTCGTAGCTATGTGAAAGTATCAATAAAATTTAGAAAATGTAGTTCTTGCTGGAAAGTTTTTCAAGGTATATAATTGCCTTATTGACATTTTTATAGACATATCCATAATTTAATAAAAATAATTTTGGAGCATAAGAAAATGACATCTTTTTTGGAGTTAAGATATAAAATTCTAATTCGGAATTCAGTAAGGCAAATCGTTAAGATGGACGCTTAGCTAGTTTAACAAGTGTCCTCGATATTATATGAATGAAAATTAATAAATTATTAATTAAACTGCCGATGACGCTATTTTGACTGTACTAGCACAACAATAAAACAGCAATGATCAACACGTATTTCTAATCGTCATAATTATTCCAATATATTTTAAAGAAAGTTGAAATTCTTAATCAATGATTTGTTCATAATGATTTATAGAGAAGCAAATGACAAACCGCTAGATTGTTTATTTGGTATCTAAAAACAAACCAGATGAACACTCGTTTGCTTCAAGCTGATCGCCATTAGTTTACATACAATATGATCTTTCAACCGATTATTTTGAAAATAAATAGTATAACCACTGTGGACTTTTGGCCAATGTATAGGCCTTACTAAATAAAGCATGCATCAAACGATAGGGTCGTCTTCCTCCCTCAGATTGTAAAAGAACCAAAAAAAAAAAAATTTCCGTTTTTACTAGAAATAGAACGTCAATGACAATTATAAAGTTTTAGATGATAACAAATTATATAATTTTAGCTTTTTTCCGTTCCGAAATACCAAACGAGATCTCTGAACAGAACAGATTATTAAAGATGGTCTGTCAACATTCCATAACAAAGATATAACGACGGAGAGCTGAATGTCATGAATAAGACCGAATGATCTAGTTTGAATGAAAATATCCAAATACACTTAAATGAGAAAATTCCATTGAGTATATAAAAAACACATAGTATTTTATATACTCAAAATGACCAAAGATGCAGGTTTTTATCTTTGAAACTATAGAATTATATAGCTAACGTGTCATCCTTTATGATAGTGTAAACAACCAGAATTCTTTATTGCACATCGCAAGTATTCAATTACTGTTTCGTAATCCTTGTAAGTTGTTTTAAGCAGCAACACTAAAAAAATTCATTCAGATAAAATATGGTGTACTTATTGGACATTCAACTAGTCCAATAGTTAGAATGGTCAGACTTTTTTTATAAAATAAAAGATATACTGTATTTTGGTGGATTCATATTTTCAGCTTTTTGTTGTTAATTAATAAACTACAATAATAATAAGTATATGAGACATCTTATATTATTTTTTTGACGTTTTTCGGTTGCGTTAATTTGAAAAGTTTTGTTAAAATAACGGAAGTAATAAATTAGGAAATTTAATAAAAAGAGCCAACTTTATTTTCAAAAAGTCATTTAAATTAACATTTTAATATACCGGTATAATATACAAATTTATCACATTTCATTTAAACTTTAATATAGCTTAGAAAATATTTTAAAATATAATTTAAAAACAATGGTTCCGAATTAGTGGTATACAGACTCCTGAGATCCGCGGATCACTGTTTTGGAACCTATCTACTCCTATCCAAACGTAATACTTACTTGTTAGCCATTCTTGTGTTAAAACTGTATTGTGCAGTGATGATCAGTCATGCTTTGTTTTTTTAACTCTTTCTGTCCAGCAGGCATTAAGAGGACATTTTAGCAAGTCTATTATGGGTTCAGCCAGGCCCACAATGGAGGAGACAGTTGATGAGGGACAGTACCCGACTTAACCGGATGGACCTTCCTGAAAAATTCCTGGAGTATTTCGACTTTTCCAGATGTAATACCGGGTCCCGAACAGGGGCAGAACTTCAATGCTGAAAACCTTCAATGCGCCACTGAGCCAGACCCCGGAACCAACAGGGGCTGGAACGTGTCAAGCAAAAAGTCTACGATCCATGATCCTGACAAAAACAGAATCACCTGATCCGTGATCTTTTTTTCAGTTAAGGGATAAAGGCATTTTTTGGGATGCAAGTCTCCCAAAAATGCCTTTAGCCCTTGACTGAAGGCGGGGGTGGAGGTTAGCATTATAATTTCGAACTACGGCCCGAAATGTTGTTGTTCCGCCTCTGTTGTTTATACTGTAATATCTAATCTATATAAACAGATCTACTTGTATTTGCTTTAAATGTCATTAATATACAAAATCATCCAGTTCTTCAGTCAGGAAAGAAATTGCCATTAACTTATTATTCGAAATGTGAATGAACTTAAAAAATATTTGATCATCTAATTCATTCAGTATATAATTTTTAATAATTTCGTGACTGTCAGACGAAAAATCGTTGTCATCCATTCCTAAAAAATTGGAATAAAGAATATTTACGAAAACTTCATTAAAAAATTTCAGATATTCAAATACAGTGTATTACTTCTGTATGAATGATGATAACTCGAAGAATGAAACCACGTTTCAGTCTATACATTTTATTATAAAATGTGCTTATAATTCATATTTTTTTATTATTTAGGTATTGGAGTTGCTATGGTAATGTTATCGATAATTGTGGCAATATATTATAATATCGTGATGAGTTATACCTTATTATACATGGCGCAGTCTTTTCGCTCTGTGATTCCTTGGAGCAGTTGTTTTGAATGGTGGGGAGCAGATTCGAATTGCTACGTCAGATCGGAAAATACGGTTAGTAACTTTATACTATAACTTGTACTATACTTTATTATACTTTGTACTATATACTATAAATTATACGACTGAATAACAAATGTAACAACAATGAGAAATTATAAGTGAAACGTTATTTTTATTCCGGTTATTCGAATCTAATCCTGAAAACTATTGAAATATCGGAAGTTCGAATAGCAGTAAATATTTTCCATTATTTCTTATTGAAAAATTAACACTGTTTTTATTATTCCGAATATTCTCAATCGATTTCTTCAAATTATACTAAAACACTGAAAAACGCTCACTTACTCCATTTTTAGCATGATATTAAACATTACAAACTTTAATCATCTTACTAAAAGCACCTAAGGAGGTCATTAAAAGGTGTTAATAAGCGTTAATGCAAAGAATAAGTTTTGGTACTCCTTATTAATAATTGTATGATTCATGTATTGCGATTACTTAATACGTAAAAGACAAAAATGAAAATGTTGTAATGATACTGTACATTTTATATTAAAATATCATTGTATAAAAACAGAATAACAATAAAAATAAACAAATGAAATAGTAAATTTATTGTAATAAACTGTTAAGATTGTACCGAAATTTTTCGGTAAAAATCATTAAACTGTACAATCACAATATGATACAGACACACTGAACATTACTGACAAACAAAAATAAATGCTGGAAATTGACTCGCCCTCTAATTCCTACTTTTACTGGCCCAACTTTCTCATATTTTACACGCCATTGGTAGAAATTCATAATAGCGGAAATCGATTCGGATATCGCGGTAGGTACTAAAAATCATTCTTTGTATCCGGAATTCGGATGCCAGGGTATGACTTTATTTGTGTAAATGTCAAAATTTCATAACTAGGATAATTTTCTTGATTGTCAGTAAAGAACATAGAATATATACAGGATGCATCAGGAGGAAAAGAAATAAATATAAAAGTGTTAATATCCATTCTTTTACGACTTCTATGTTGTCATTTAGTATTAGTATAATAATCATATTTTAAACCGATTCTCACTATAATATTTTTCTGTTATAGTTAGCATTCTCTTAAGAAAATACTTTTTATTTAATGACGAAATTATCATGGATTAAAGTTATTTTTTTACAGTTATATAAATGTACAGTTAAATGAAACTCGACATCACTTAACTCTTTAATAACTTTAAAAAATTATATTAAATTTTTATCCTTTGATTATCCTATAATTTGGCAACATTAATACTGTTAAATATTTCCTAAAAATCTGGTTAGCTTCTTTCAAATACTGTATTTACCCTTACTATTATCTAAATATAAATTTGTGATTCGTTGTAAAACTTAAAAGAATGTAATCAGATTTTTCATTACTCTGACAAAAACCAGGAGAGCTTTATTTAAACTTAATCTCGCTATTACGCTACGTCGTATTCCTATTTTCACATAATTCGTACATTAAATATAATTTTTGTTATTGAATTACAGTATTATCTACTTCGAATTTAGCAAACAATCTCAAATGGGTGGATCAAGAGCTTTCACTTAAGTTATAAATACAGTCGACCCCCCTATAATTACGGTCCCTATAATTACGATTCCTATAAAACTACGAAAAAATTGTGACCGGTATCCGTAAAAAACAGTAAAAATTCCCTATAATTACCTGAAACGTCATCGGGCAGCCGAACTACTTTCCCGCCGTCCGTAGCGCCACGCTACGGAGAGATTTCTATCGTCTGGACAGTATTATATAAATTATATATAAATTAGGTACTGTACATATAATTATATATTAATTATATATAAATTAGGTACTGTATATATAATTATATATTAACTTATTGTAACTTTGTTATAATTAAATATATAATTTCCGCCGTCTAGCGTGGCGCCACGCTACGGAGATTTTTACGCTAACTATCGTCTGTCAGTATGTAAATTAGGTACCGTAAGTCTAATACAGTACTGTAATTTTATACATTTCTTGTGAAAGAAACATTTCTTATTCAACGGCGATTAAAATTATTTATATTAATGATGTCTCCGAAGTTCTACGAAGTTTTCACAGAAAAATAAGTTGTTAGAAATCGGCCGCTCTTTGCTGAGCTGTTCCGCGACGAAAACAATGTTGAGCAATGGCAATGTCGAATGGTGACACTCGGTAAGTAATCCTACAATTTTTTGTTTATAGCGTAGTTTATACGGATTATTCCCAAAAAATATATACGTATTTTGGAAATGTTGAGTCGGATTAGTCTAGAATCGATTAATTTTATGGAAGAAAACCTTTCAATCAGCCGTAGTCCGTAAACTTGACACGTGTCGGGCTGTGATTGGAACGACTCGTAAGAAATCGGATTCCTAAAGAATGGAACGTATCTATATCTTATAGGGGGGTCGACTGTAGTTTATTTTTTATGATTTAACAAATTAGATGAAATTCATTTGTCTGTTAATCTGTTTCTTTTTTAAGTACTAAGCGAATTTAATAAGTTTTTACCTTGATCAGACTAGATGCGCCGATGTCATGACGATGATAGAAACAGAATATAAAGAATCTAATCGAACAGAATTTAATTTAAATAATTTAACAAATAATATACCGGAAGAATATGCTATGAAATTAAATACCTGTACTAATGCTACTCAGACTGCTTCGGAGCAATTTTGGGAGTAAGATATAATTATTATTAATTAATAAATTTATAAATTAAACTCTTTACTTTTTAAATATGAAAATTTGTAACTGGATGATGATTATGTGTAATATACAGGCGCTATGTGTTAGATCTATCATCTGGAATTGAAGAAATCGGTCCAATAAAATGGGATCTAGCTCTGTGTGTCTTTATATCTTGGACGGTCGTTTTTTTAGCTCTAAAAAATGGAATTAAATCTTCTGGAAAGGTAATTTTTTTATAAAATAAGAATAACAATTTGTAACCAATAATTTTTATATATAAAAATAATAATAATAATTGTTTTCGTTGTAGGTAGTTTACTTTACGGCAACATTTCCCTATGTTGTTTTAATATCATTATTGATATATGGAGCAACATTAGATGGCGCCATAGATGGAATATACTTTTTCTTCGTTCCTAAATGGGAAAAACTATTGGACGTGCAGGTTAGTAAATTATCAGATAAGAAAAATACTGAGGTAAACAAATTTTATCCATAATAAATATTTAATTGTGTAATGTGAGGTAATTAAAATTATTCTCCTTGAGAGTTCAATAGGCTACTCTAATAACAAATATTAATAGATAAGAAATGTCCTAATTATATAAAAAAAATAATGGAGTTGTCATCACTAAACGCGTGACCCATAAATATAAAGGCACAACTTGTTATGCGAATAAAAGCTAAACTACTTATCATATAACAGAACCAATTTAATTTTGAGGTACAACTTACTTACAAAAACATATGTAACATATTTATCTAAGTATTTATACAATATTTAACAGGGGTATCGCAATACCATTATGCGAGAGGTGCATCCTCTATTGGAACGATATATTATATTGTGTTTTTTAAAAATATTACACTATAATACTCTTCTTGTCTAGCCTTGGTATATACTTGTAAGCACTGTGTTGGCCTCTTTATTTCTAGACTTATTACACCGTCATTGGACACAATATCAGACTTATTACACAGTGACGATGTAAAAAGTCTAGAAATAAAGAGGCCAACATAATACTTACAAGTGTATAAAATATTAGTCATCACTGTTGTGTAGTAAATATCACTGTTACATTACTGAGGCTTTATATTGATAGGTAGGAGGGTAGGAAAACATTCGTTTAATTTATAATAGTTCTTAACCAGTATTCCTCAAACCGAGGCAGTTTGCCATGTATTCCATGAAAAAGCAAAAGATTTTAAAATTTTTATTGCAAATTTATTCTAATATAAAGTGCGACCCATAAATATAAAGGCACAACTTGTTATGCGAATAAAAGCTAAACTACTTATCATATAACAGAACCAATTTAATTTTGAGGTACAACTTACTTACAAAAACAACTTACAAATAAACATACTAAAAATCATGTAATTATATTGTTTAACAACTTAACAATAAATTAATTTAAATCAAAATCACGTTTCTCGCTGTTCCAAAAATATAAAGGTAGGTTCGATTTTCTAACCATAGAGGTCATACAGTACTACAGTATAACTGCTACGTATTTCAAATGTTTATTTCTTTTACGTATTGAAGTAAATGAGTTGTTTTTCATCATGGGACGTGCAAAACTTAACAGATGTTTAAAAAAGCAAGATTTCAGCTTTAAGAGATGAAAATTACTCAGCAAAAGCAATTACAAAGAAAATTAATCGTTCTCTAACTGTAATTGACAATTTCATAAACCTTGGAGACAAATACGGACAAAAGAAATCAACAGGTCGACCTTCAAAGCTTACAAATAGAGGAAAATGTAGTATTTTGAAGAAAATCAAAAGCAACCAAACATCTTTACGAAAACTAGCATCAAAACCAGAGCTTAATGTATCAAAATCTACAATTGGAAGAATTGTTAGTACATGTCAGCATCTCATCTATAAGAAGAAAAAGCCTGCACCATCACTATCCTTCTTCTTTGAGCAAAAGCGCTAGCAATGGACATAGGAGAAAATGGGATGGAAGGACACATGGAAGGACACATGGAAGTACAGCATCTGGAGTGATGAGAAGAAGTTTAATTTCGATGAACTAGATAGTTGGACTTGTTATTGGCATGATTTGAGGGGAGGAAGAAATATTTTCAAAATGGTAGCAAAGGGGAGGCCCAGTGATGGTACAGGTTTAGTTCGTTTGGCAAGACAAATATTACATTCCTCAGTGGCCGAATGGATGCAAATCATTATCAAGACATGCTAGAAAGTTATCTTTTGCCTTGGGCTGATGTAATTGCTGGAAATCGTTGGTTTTTCCAACAAGATCCACACAGCTAAATCAACTGTCAACTTATGGGTAGTTTTAAATAATGGAATCCCAGTTATTGATTGGCCAGCTCGATTTGAATCCGATGGAAAACCTCTGGGAAATCTTAGCTAGAGCTGTATATGCTAATAGACGCCAATATATATAGCAGTGTAGATGAGTTAAAACATTCAATTGACATCCATCGGGAAGAAATAAATACAATAGTCATTCAAAAACTTATACAATATCAGACCATATCTACAAAGTTATAATGAAAAAGGTAAAGTGTATTGGTTATTAGTTGATTATTATTAAAGATGTATCACAATACTTTCTACTGTTCTAGTGATATTCGTAGACATTCGTTTTCATTCAATACATTAGAGTTTTTAGTTCATTGCTTCATTGTTTTCCGAGAATAGTATGGAATTGTTTGTCAATTTTTGAATATATTTATGTTAATACTCCGTGTAATAATAAGTATATAAATGATGTTCGGCGACCTTAGAAAGGTTGAGAATAGTGATGTAACGAATATTCGGTTACTATTCGGCCTATTCGGCCTATTTTTCACTTTTCGGCCGAATACCGAATATCTAATCACTATTCGGCCGAATACCGAATACCTAAAAACAGGAGTAATAAATAACAAAAACACAGTAAATTAATCGTTTTGGTATTTAGATTTAATGTTATCGAATTAGTGTTGTTTGTTTTTTATTTATAACTTGTAACATGCACAAAATAAAAAAGAAAATAATAATAGTCACATGTATTCACAATTTATAATTACAAAGATCAGCACACGTACACGTCTATCGTTGGAGAATCCTCGCACATCTGAGGGTCTGACCCTGCCTATCCTTTTTAAGCGCTCGTCTTTGCTCTTCCCTTTCTCTTACCTCTATCGCTCTAATCCATGTATGCCTGTGCATACATCATAATACGCGCTCACGATACTTTCGATTCGTCACTTTTCCGTCGTAGAGTTCCCATTTTACAATTACGTGACTCAGCCTGGTGATAACGGAGGAAAGAGACAGATAGGACGTCGATATAAGTCACAGTTATGATTTCACAGATTCGAGACTGCTTGATAGCCCGAACGGCCCCAGGCTTTCGCCCGTGCACGCTAAGTGACTTTCATTACAAGCATTTAGCTTTCCGAAGTCTATGACGACACTTGTTTGGCATTGACGACCGCGAATTTCGCTCCAATAAGCTGCCTCGACTTGTTCGATTATGTTATCAACTCAATTTCATATTTATTTTCACATTTTCAATTCGCGGTCCTTCTCTGTTCTTTTTCCGTTATTTACACGTGTAGGTCATTTCATCGTTATCCACATTTGATATCGTCATTTATCACATACTGCCATGACGATCTTGTCTGAACTGTCAAGAATTAACGCGATTGGCGAAGCGTAGTGACAGTGGGCCAATAGAGAGCAGGATCCTTGCCATAATGTGGTTTGCGCGCCAATTTTCGTACGTGCGTTAATCAAGCCGAATAGTTTGGCCGAATATTCGGCTATTCGGCCACGCTCTTGGCCGAATATTCGGTATTCGGCCTGAGGCCGAATATACTATTCGTTACAACACTAGTTGAGAACCACTGGTATATAACATTAAAGCGTGTCTGATATGTGATTAGCAGCTTCAAAAATAAAAGCCACAAGTTTTTAAAAATGCTTTCGCATTGGTATGAAAAGTAAATTTAAATGAATATAATGACTAAACTGTACTAAAATTTATTGAAATTACAGTATTAACATTTAATAAAAATAAGAAATTGAGAAACAGTTAAATATACTCTTCAGCGAATTTAATCAAGTATCAGATATTACTAGAATTAATTCATCTTATAAATAAAAATGATATTGATATAAGTGATTATGAAAAATATATTCCTAAATGATAAATATAAAAATCAAACTTATAAAAGAATTAGATCTTTATATATTTATGTCTTATGAAAATTCAATGCTTATGTTCAAATGTAGTCCTGCATACAAAGCAATTGTACGAAAAAATGATCAAGTTTAGTAATATTTATTTACAATTCTTCAAATCTCGCAATGTGTGTATTTTAGTGGATAGTAAGGCCGATTTTTGCGAAAACATAAAAAAATAAATAAACCAGTAGTTTAAATTAAAAAATTATAGAACTTAGGGATATCAAACTATTCGATTTGTAGACGTTTGTAACTACATATTCAAAAATTATGTCCATCTCATTTTAATGAATGCAGCTCTCCGTCAAATCAAAAATAATAATTATTTTCCAATTGTTAGATAATTTAACAATGTGATATGACTAAAAAATAATTATAAAGTTCCGTAAGAATTAGATACAAAACTTTTTAATCTTCCTTTCTACAAAAATAATCGATTATTGTTTTAATGTGTGCTGAACTAGAGGATTTGATCCCGGGATCTCGAAAATCGGGATCCCGGGATCCCGACCACTTTTCAGTCCCAAAATTTTCGGGATTAAGTTTTCCTAATCCCGGGATTTTCGGGATTGACATCATTTTAAAAAAATTGCAAAATAGACTGCATGAAGCGAAACGTTCAGTGCCAGTGCTTTTAACAGAATTGCTTGCCTATCATTTTAATATAAAATACAAGAAATTTTATTCCAAGCAAGCAGCAGAAATTAACCAAGCGGGCTTGCGATGCTTGCTTGGAATAAAACTTCTTGTATTTTGAACTAAAATGATAGGCAAGCAGTTCTCACTGGGTTACTTGGTAATATACTTCATTTTTGTATTTTTGAATTTTCGCGGGCGCCAATCGATTTTCTGGTGCAGTCGAGAGCACTACTCAGTGCGTTTTACCTGTCAATGTGTCAGCCATCTTGTTTTGCCAGTGTGGTTAATATAGACCTGACGCTACTCGCTTAGGGGGGGTCGACCTTAGGTGAAAAGGTTATGACCCTCGCCTTGTCCGCGATCTGTCAGGATGATGCGAGAAAGTCTTTTTACGTTTCGGGGTTTGCTGGACGCTGAGAGACTCACACAGAGACCGAATTTACAAAATTAACGCGTTTATTTTTAGAAAGGCATGCTTACAATGATAGAAACAATCGGGATTATAGCCTTTACTCCTACAATCCCGATCCGTGTCGACCGGACTGTTTTTTTCCATCCTCCCCGTGTCCTCGAAGCTTATAAGTATTTACTAACGATTCCTCCAACTTCCATCAACCTAAACGCGTTTTCTCTGCAGCTGCATATATGTGCAACAAATTGAGAAGCAGACTTGGTGATGAGACCTAGATGCGTTGTTATTTCTCAGATCATATTTTCGCAATTCAAATTAGAATGTTCCTATTAAATTAGTTTTCTTTATATTTAAGAAAAATGTGACTGATTAATATTATTTTTAAATACTTTTTCCTAAGAAACTTACTTTACTACCTACTTACTAGGTTGTTATATGAAAGTAGTTTATTTAGTCGATGTTAAGAGAGATTTTTGTGAATTTTCAACGTTTATTTGCATAGTTTGTTACATAAAAGTTTTTTCAATTTATGTGAGTTTAAAGAGATCTCAGTGATGCTTAAAAAAGAATAAATTTTACATGAAGACAGTGATTTTAAGTCTGGTTAGTCTGACTGTAAGTCTGATTAATTAGAGTGATTAAATTAACTAGGTGTATACCGTAAAATACGTTGATTTTTGTCTAAATTTTGATTTTTAATTTCTGTAAGATTTTCTTATTTTTTATTAACCCTCAATACCGAAATAATCCCGGAATCCCGGGATCGAATAAGTATAATCCCGAAATCCCGGGATTAGAAATAAGGACCGGGATCGAATTCCCTAGTGCTGAACTGATGTAAGCAAACTTGGAGCCCGAGGAGAAGACCTTTTGTGCCGTTCGGTAAAGAAAATCATCAACACATTTGAAATATAGAATAGTAGTTTGCTTATATACGTGAAGAAACACAATAAAGTTAATAAGTAATACATATGTATTGCCAATAAATAATAATATATTAATTATGTAAGGGTAAAAGAGAGTATTGTCTAATAGATTTTGTATGCATTTATACATCTGAGGTTCAGTTTGACTTTTTCTTCTAAGATGTAGGTTTTCTATCTGTCAAACCTATACATTATACATATTCGGATTTTAAATTCAAGTACTGTATTTAAAAATAAATAATACGTTCAGTTCCATTTATTTGTTGCAAAGAGTTTATTTCACTCATTTTATAGTATTAAATTTCTTTAAAAGATTCTGTCATGGAACCGCCAAAGATTGCTCTCCTAGGTGGCCGCCTAATTTGCCTGTAAGGTCCTGCTGGCCCTGAAATTTCTGCAGGGTGTAGAGTGACACAATTCTTCACAAGTTGTCAAACTTTGTTTTGCTTTTATATTTGGCATGTTTCATATTTGTGCAAATATTTAAGATTTTTGTGCGTTATTAATTTCTTAAAAAATGTTTTTCTGAATTTTATAATATCAAATGGCAATCTTGCCTAATTTCTCTGAAGTTCAATACATTGCTTTCTTAGTTTTTGAAATTTTTGACATTGAAAAGAAAGAAATTTTCTAGGCCCACCAGTAGCCAAGCTGTCTTCGTTCCATGAACACTGGGAGTTCTGTCGTGGTTCGCGCCTCGCTCGGACGAGCTAACCAAGTGGAGTTCTCTGGGTTTCCTCCACGTCTGTAACATCTAAATAGGGGTCACTTAGGAGGATCCTTCAAACACTTTCACAATTCACTTTGTGATCATTGGAATCCGTAAACAGAAGCATATACTTCAAGAGTTTTCATATACAGTATATGCATACTCTTAATACGCCAAAATTAAAATAATAAATACCTTTAACAATACTGTATTACAAAGCATAAGTTTGAATATTAAAGTATGTACTCATTAGACAATTTATGAACGCGTTTTAAACGTTGTCTTAATATAACTCATTTGACGATACTGTATATGATCTCTTGAATTAATTTGTTGGAACATTCACGTCTGTTCCCTGTTCTAAAAATAAAATTGCCTGTCTTTTAATTCAAAGATTACGTCTGGAATTAAAGTAATTGAAATTAGATAAAGCAGAATTGAGTAATAAATGGCTCCAGAGAAAAAAATCACCTGTCATCCTACACTGATCGACTTCTTAATAGGTCACATAGTACATTTTAAAGATAGTTTCAACTGATTAAATCAGGTTATATGTGTAGAAACGAGGGCAATATGGCATTCAATTCAGTATTTTGTAAAGAACGAAACATTTAAGAGATTAAGTTTTAACAATAATAAATGTCTTATAAACATTAATAAAATTTATATTTAGTATTTACACTAGTATTTCATTGTTACAACTTTTAAGTTAAGTATCAGAATTTAAAACATAATCCATTCTTGCAACTTTCATTATTCTAAGCATGATAAAAAGTTTCGTTGCGAGTAAAAACAGTAATGAGTAAACTCAAGCATATAATTTATTATTTATTTATTATTTAGTGCTTACAAGTAATTCGTAGTTTTACTGTATTTTTAGTACCGTCAACATTGAGAAAAAAATTTTAATCATTATAAAAGTTTAAACTAAAACACGAGTTTGCACATTAAATAAAAAGTTCTTAAAACACGAAATTGGAGGAATTCTCATCAGACCTTTACTTGCTTGTAAGTCATTATTAGTTCTATTTTTAATTAAAAATGCTTATAACTAAAACGCGACAAATGTCAAATTGTAGATTTTAATCACGTTTACCTTATTTATAATTACAGAATTTATAAATACAGAATTTAAAACAATTATATTTATTATTTTACAAATTACGCGTTATAAAAGAATCTATTTTAAAACAAAACTTGCTTCATTCGTTTTAGATAGTACAGTAATGTTAAAATAATATATTATTGATGCATAAATATTGTTTTTATTTGATATCTATTTGTTATAATATAATTTTAAAAACACTAATTGATGAATCAATGATACATTGCATGGAAATTATACGCTTTTCTCGTCATCTACTTTTATCATAGTGGTTGTAAATACTGTATCTGAATCCACGGTGCCGCGTAACATTATCTGGTCTAATTCTACTTTGAACTATTTACGATTGTCCATTACACAGGAAAAGTATCTTTCTAATGGACGACCTCATAGAAGAATTACGCATTTAACAGATGGCTCAATTAACTAGAACTAACGATTAGAACAGCTCCGGTATGTGTTTGCTAAACTGTTAAATTTAACACTTGCATCTTAAGCTTTTTATATTAAAGTATTATCTATTTACTATAATTCATATTTAAAAAATTCTGTATATTTTGATTTTTTTCAAATTTTTTTGCGATAAATATTTGAATAATATACTTTTAAATAATTTAAAATAGCAATCGTTTATTAATAATTCATTTCAAAGGTGTTATGTCAAAGGTGCTTTTTCTAAATTCAAGATTTAATCTCAAATGAAATTCATTAAGAAATATAATTTTAATTAATTTATACATTTTAATATGTATTTATTCATTTTGTAAAATTTAATTTTATCTAAAATTTGATAACATTTTTATTAAGCTTTAAAGAGTTTAATTGCTAATTAATTACTCTTTTTACAGAACATTAATTCCTGTTTGCTACTCTTTTTACTCTCTCATTTAAGAATTAATATTGTGATCACATAATGAATTATAGAATTATAATTAAAGTAGTAAAAAAATATTTACTAATGTATTAAAAATTAATAAATAACTTACTGAAATTATTCTACCTCATTATTAAATTTAAGAAAACATTTTTATTCCATTAAATGCAATTATTTCATTAATTTTAATAAAATAATTGCTTCGGAATAAAATAAAATATTCTTATATCTTTATTAATTTAAAATTAATAAAAATCCATTAAATTGTAATTTGTTATTGGTTTAAGAATCGCGTTTTTAAAATATATATTATAAATAAATTTTACTCTTTTTTTCACTTTCAGCCAATACCTTTATTTTATTATCATTGCGATACTTTAGTTTATTTGTAATATAGGCTATTTTAACAGACTTTTTTTGCCATAGTTATTTATTTACTACATGCAGCAAAATATAAATAAGATTAACATACGTAATGAGATAAATTTACGTCTTAGATAAAAGATCTAATCTAGGAGAAAGATGATTACATCTTTTATCACCTGTCAGATGCATTTCTATTCCGTTTTCCATATTTCTTCATTCGCTGGCTTTTCTTTCCAACTTTTTTAAAAGAATTTTATTGTCTCCGGGATTATATAATATCCTGAATTGATCAAGAATTCTATATTAAATCACTCTACTTTGGCGTTGTGAAGAGCGCATAGTTTGTTATGTTTCTTGATCCCTCAGGAAAAATTTAATTGCATCGAACGGAAACAAAAATTATTACACTCATCATTATACATAAATTTTGAATGCTAAAAGATTTGGTTTACTCTTGAAAATACCGTTAAGGTTTATTTTAAATTTTTTTAATGGAATAATTTAGTTTATTTTTAACGCCCCTTATAAAACATTAAACAATATCAGTTTATTAAAGATTATGATAAAGATTGTTATATGAAATAGTTTAGTTTTTTAATAGAGTTTTTAATCTACTTTTTGTAAAATATGTATTTAGGTTAAAATTATCGCGTTATTATAAAACATTTCAAAATTGTTTTATTTTTATTTTAAACAGCTTTTATGTTGTTGTTTTATGGGGGGTTTGATAAAGGGCCTTATTAGACTAAGGATACCATGGCATGATGAAATGTTAAGTTAGTCAACCAGCTTTTAACAATACAACAAATTACATAAGTTTTCAAAAAATTTTCATTTACACAAAATCCTCGTTAATGTAAATGTTTATCAAGATTTCATCGTAACGCGAATCTTTTATAATTTTACAGAATTTCATATTTCTAACTAAAAAAGTAACTCAGAATTCTAACAATTATACAAATATTTTGTTTTAAAAAAATCATATAAAAGTACATAATTGATTTATTTGCAGGTATGGAGGAAAGCAGCCGAACAACTTTTTTATTCGTTGAGTATATCCTGGGGAGGCTTAACATTATATGGAAGTTATAATCAATTCTACAATAAAGTACATAGGTTAGATATTATTTATTCTGTTTAATCTTCACAGCAAACTATAAAAATCTCTATATATATATATACATATTCTCTCTTTTCTCTATGTAAACGAGAGATAGAATGAAATTAATGAGTAGTGTCTATAAAAATTCAATAATTCTCCAAAAAATTTTTTAAACTTTATTATTAAAATAATTCCAGGGATGCACTTTTCATCAGCTCTTTAGATTTTCTAACGAGTTTGATTTCGGGTGTGGTCATATTTTCGGTATTGGGAAATATGGCTAAAACTATGAATCTGGACGTAGCAGTTGTCGTGAAAGGAGGTTTGTTTTCATTTTTTTATAATGGTTTAATTAAGTATATTTCATAGATTAAAGATTTTAAAACATTTCAATGGAATATCTACCGAATAATGTTACATTGCTTTATGTAGGAGAGTATTTAGTTTGTGTTATCTTCTAATATCTCAAAATAAAACTGTTTTTTTTTTTGTATGGAAGTATCCTGAATTTTAGGATTGATATTGCGATTTATCTGGTCAACTTTTAGTTACATGAAATGTCTACTTTAACTATATTATAAGAGTCATTCAGATCGATGTGTCAGTGAGCCATCCTATTCACGCCATTCATTTTACTTTCCAACACTAAATATTTTGGATATTATTTGTAAAATGACACACAGTTATGTGTCATAAGAAATACTGTTCTTTTACAATAAATAATTAGTCTAAATACAGGGTGAATAAAAATTCCCTTGTACACTATTTCAAAAGTACTAAATATACCTGTATATTAATGTAGTTACATAGGAAGTTATGTATAGGACTCCATACATCACTATTTTCAGTATTATATTCACTAAATTATAATGGGCTTAATTAAAATTTTTCAAAACTTTGATTTAAAATCTTGTTAACAGTTTTTAATTTTATATCAACAAATATTAATAAAAGTAGCAATTTTATTAAATGAAGTATTAGTACAAAATTTTATACAATTATAAACATAAATTCTGATCGAAGCCGGATTTAAGTCCTTACATTTAATGTTTCGTCTTAGTAATAACAATGCAACGAAACGCCTTGTATAACTTTGCAACTGTAAGCTGTTAAAGATTTTTGGGCTGCAATTTTTAAATTTAAATCCTATACAATCCCTCTGCCGTCCGTCGTTCTGTCCTTCGTTAATCTCGAGAACGAAATTAGATGAAAAACGAGATAAAATACGGAAAGATTATTTTTAGATTAAAATATGATTAAAAATTACAACCTGCCATTGTAATTGTTAAATTAAATAAATGAGTTAAATATTTAAATTAAAATCATTTAATAATTTAATAAAAAAATTAAAATGTTTAGTTATTTAAAATGAAACGATAATTAATCGAAAAATTAATTTAATGTTAATTATATTCGATATTTACAGATCTCGCTACTGTTAATTAAATTTGCTCTCAGTGTAATATTAAGAAAAAACTTCAATGAGTTGCACTTATTTTACGTTGTAAATCATTATTTGTGTCTTTTCACTTGATCTTTTTTGTTCTAATGACCGTTGGTCAGACATTTTCTGAAGACTTTCCTTTTCTTTCCTCAATTGCTTAGTAAAGTTTTGTGACGCTTAGTAAATCGTAATTACTATGACAAATTTAATGGCAATTTGTTGTAAACTGGCATTGAATTTGAAATTGACTACATTCTTTGGGCATTTAGCATACGAAATATTGCCCTTGACAAATTTTCCGAATAAGCGAATAACCTTAAATTTCCTTTACTAATATACTGTAATGTTCAGCCAAATTATTGTACATGAAACGACTTTACGGCACAAAATAGAGCTCGAAGTCTTTTTCTGTGAGAATGCTTGTTTTCTAGATTTATCATCATGATGACAATGCTTCTTTCAGAACTTCTGTAGTTGTAGTCTGTGTAAATGTGTACTTTATCAATATGTTGAGTCTTACTGTTAAATCTGGTTCCAATATTATGTTACAACTTTCAAAAATTTCTTTTATTTAGATGTTTTAATGTTTTTTTTCTTTCTGAATGTCTGAATAAACCGAATTATCTACCAAATTCTTAACTATAACAAAATATTACATCCATAAAATAATAAAAACATCATAAAGATTCAACCATTGATTTAAGTCACTCTACCATTGCTTTAAATCGCTGTGTTATTGTGATATGTTTAGAGTAAAGAATTATAAATCCTGTACAAAATAGAAATACTGTACAGTATTACCAGAGAAATAAACTTTTTAACAATTTAATATTTCTAATCATCACCGGTGTAGACTGACTCGTTCGATTCTGAGAGCATAACCAGGTAAATAATTTTCAACTCCTAATAGGCGCATGATAGATAAATTTTGGATATTTTATAGAATTTATACGTGAATTATTAAGAACTCCATTCCGAATAAACTAAGAAAGCGTTTAAATTATTGAATTAAAAAGTTGAAACGTTCTTTGAATAATACGCAATTTGATAATCACTCCCAGTTTTATCAGATTGACTATTAAACCATTTGTATTTTTCTTAATATGAGCAAAGTGTCTACAAAAATTGGAAACGAAGGTGATCAGAATTCCAAAATTCAGTCCTCAGTCTTGCAAGTTACGATCATTTAAGAAAAGCTCTCTTGTATCTTAGGAAGCTTTTCGCCATTTCTAAAGTCCATCACAAAGATTAAAGATGATTTATCATTAAACCCCCTTTTTTACAGTAAGTATTGATGGCATTGACCTTCTGTAATGCTATTTTAGACGTATCATATCGTCGGCACCAGTAATTGATTCAATTGATCTACATCATCCGAAGGACTATTCATAGTCAAATATGATCATAAATATTTTATAAGTTTTATATGTTAATATATAAATTTATAATATTTTTATAATCTATGCTATTTTAGTAAATGATTATTATTTCAGGGCCAGGTCTTGCATTCGTAGCATATCCAGAAGCTTTGGCTCAACTTTGGGTACCTCAGCTGTGGTCTTTTCTCTTTTTCTCGATGTTATTTTTTCTTGGCGTTGATAGTGAGGTGATTTTCTCAGAATAAAGACCATTATTATGTTCTATACATATTTTATTTAAAATAATTGTTTCTAAAACAAGTAAGTAAAGCTTGTTTTTGAAATGAATCTGTCTTATTAATTCTATTATAAAATTTTATTTATACTTTTATTTTAATATAAATCTTATTTTAAATTTTCAGATATTAACTGTATGTATATTATCTATTATAATTAAAAAATGGTGTGATGTTATTTTGTAGTAAAATTTTTCGCATTGTAACTGACACATTTCTTAAAATATATTTTTTTTTAATTTAAAGAAAACAATGATTTGTTTTTTTTTCTATTTCTAGTTTGCCTATCTGGAAACATTTCTAACAGCAATTTATGATGAATATCCTAAAATGAGAAATTATAAAACTGCAGTTACTTTTTTCACTTGTTTGGCTTGCTTCTTCTTGGGTTTACCTTGCGTTACACGGGTAATTTTAAATTTACTAATTTTTTAAATAATAGATGATATAAGAAAATTATTTTTATAAACCTATGGAACAAGGGTCGCATTAATATATAAACATACTCAGCTATGATAGATCTCACTGCTCATTATTATTTTTGTTTTATATCTGTAAAACAAATTGGACGAGATAAAAAAATTTCTTAAAGTGAGCCTTATTATTACAAGATCAATACAAAACAATAATTTTTATGAATAATTTGTACATAAATTGAGATATTTTTACTTAAACATATTTTAAATTATTATATCTTCTATTAAAGAATTATAATAGGAAGCTTACATCATGTTTTAAAGTGAAATTTAGACATTTTGAAAAAAATTCTTTATAGACAATTAACTCAACAATGATTACAGTTCAGTCTTGTAGAGATAATCACCATCAATAACAATCACATCCTCACCTTCGCTTCAAACTTTCAATCCCGTGAACATAGAATGACGTTTTATATTTAAAGAAAGTTTCGAGCGTCGGATATTGTCATTAAACTGTATATTGGCAATATAGTTCTGCAGAGTGAGAAATATATGTAATCAGTTGGCACCAAATCTGGGCTGTAAGGTGAACGAGACAGAATCTCCAGCCCAGACTGGCCAGCTTCTCTAAGGTCATCTTTGCTCTATGTACTGTACAGTACTGGCGTGTTATCGTGACGGTATCTTGCTTCGTCAATACTTTGGACGAAGTTCTTTGATTTTGGTGTTCAAACGATCCAGTTGTTTACAATAAAGTTCCTTTTTGATAGTGATGTTGGTTGGAAGCAGCTTCTCGTGATGACGCCAAATGCCACCTTCTGTATTTTGACATTTGCAACAGTTGGTTAATCTTTGTTTATCCATGAACGTTTCGTGAACACTTTACAGATGAAATCGTGAGTCTTCGTTCTTTTATCACTTCTGAGGTGATAGAGGAACAGAGCGCAAACGTGTTTTTTTTCAAAATTTCATATTATCAAATATTTTTAATGAAATATGTAGTGAAATGCTTCTTAGTTACTCTACTTATACACCCACATCGAATATTCTAGAACATTTTTCAGTCGTTTCTAGAAAAATTATTTATTTATTTTTTAAAATATTCAATATATAGGCCTATCGTAAATAAAACAGTTTACAAACTTAAATATTAAAACCGGGAATTATAATAATACATATCCTAATTTGTTATGTATTCATAACTTAATAGAGAACGTAAATAACAAATTTTAATTTTCAAATTAAAACTTTTTATTAAACAAATTCTAACAGTTTCCGAACGAAATAAATTACAATTATTTCTATATTTTAAGTAAATGTAAAAGTTACACAATAAAATCTAAATATCCAGGAAAAACTTTAAAATTTTATTTAAAAATCGTTTCCCTTATTACAAAATTTAAAAAAAAAATCATTTTTGGTAATTACTTGCCTCAATATAACTTAAATTTATAACGATTAGCTAATTAATTTCTTAATTAGAATTCATTTTATAAGTAATACAAAAATGTATTTTCCCTGAATAAAAAAATTGAAGTTATATTATTTCATAAGTTGCATATTTACATTGCCTTCCAATAGAAATGTATACATTTTTAAAGTAAATATTTATTACTTTCTTATATTAAAAGTTATTATAATTTATATTATAAATTTTTATTCAATTTCTCAAATGATAGTTTTTAAGATATTTATTAACATTAAATTATTTAAACATAGCTTTATCAAATAGTGATAAAAGTTTAAAATAAATTGTAATTTTAATACATTTCATTAAATCATTTTTTTTTATTAAGGGTGGACAATATGTTTTTAATTTAATGGATGTTTACGGAGGTGGCTTCTCAGTTTTACTTGTATCAGTCTGCGAAGCAGTCGCTTTAATGTGGGGATATGGTGAGTTATTGTTATTATTATTAACAATTAAAGTAACTTTTTGTTGAAGAACAGTTTCCTCACTCCAATGATCAAAGTAAGAGTTACAAAACCATTTATTTATTTAATGACGATGCAATTTGTACTGTACCTTTGCACTCGTTGAAATAGTTCTGCAAATTGTATCATCATTAAATAAACTGCTTTGTAACACAGTGATCATCGAAGTGTGGAGTGTTTTTATGGTTCCTTAACAGAAAACATAAATTAAGAATGTAATTCTAAGTGAAAAAAAAAAACAGAAGTTTAATATTTTTCTTTTACTATAGCAATGTGGATTGTAAACTGAATATTTCTCCTTTAATTATTTGTTGTAATTATAATTAATTTGTTTTTATAATTTTATGAAGGTTTCAAAAGGTTGTGCGATGATTTTGAATTTATGCTTGGATTCCGACCCGGTTACTTTTGGCAAATTAGTTGGGCTTTTGTATCTCCAGTTGTTTTATTAGTAAGAATTAATCGTCTTTAAAAATTTATTAATTTATACTTTCAGAAATTTTCATTAATTTTCTTTTTATATTTATATTTACAGTCTATATTTATCATGGGTTTAGTTAGTTATAAACCTATAACTTATAATGAGGAACCCTATCCCTTATGGGCGGATTTGATCGGATGGGCCCTTGCTCTAAGTTCTCTTCTTATGATTCCCATTTGGGCTATTGTCGTGCTTTATCAAAATAGAAAGGTAACAATTTAAGAATTAGATTACAAATATTACAATAAATTAAAATTGTCATACTTGCAGGATTTACGTAAAGCACTCTCTCCGACTGAAGATTGGGGTCCTACAGATCCAGAGATTCGCGAATCTAGAAATAAACTAATAGATATGAAGAATTTTGAAAATATTGATCAAAAAGGCATAGTAAATAACGGTTTATATATTAAAACGGAATATATGTGATAAAACTATATATAAGAATATCTGAAATATTTAAAATTGTGCCTGCGGTTAATGAATATTCAATATTTATTCGGTATACAGAAATCACATATTTTTATAGTTAGTGTGTCAAAATATAAAAAAAAATTTAATTTAACTTTTTTAAAATTAGAACAAAACATTTTTATACTAGTCTTATTGGTCTAGATTGGTCTGTCAAAACACTCTCGTGTCTCTGTCGATATTTAAATATGTACAAAAACTTTTTAAATTGCTACTTTTAGTTGTAGACTGTGTTGAAATAAGTTATAAAATATCAGTTTATCAAAAAAATAGTTACAGTACTTGTTATTTTCCCTCCTCTGAGTGACATTTTGCGAACTATTGGTTATGCAATCCAAGTTGCAGACTGTCATCTATTGATGACAGAGCTTATAAGAAAAACACAGTGCAATATGCAATATTTAAAGAGTTCTGGGGCTGTGAGAAGATATTTTACTTCCATAGAAACTAAACGTCACGAATCTGTCATCTAAAATAGATTGACTTTTCCCTGTATTTGCTGCCTGTGATATCTCAATAGTCCATTTTGTAACTCCATCTCAGTTTCCGAATGTCAGTTTTAGTAAGATGTTCTTCAAAAACAGAAAAATCTTTAAACATTCAGAATATTTTTTTTTTAGTTTTTCGAAGAAAGATTGTAGAAAATGTCATTTTTTTATTAAAGAAAAATTGTTTTATTTGAAATAAATGATAAATAATCGTGTTCTAGATCATAAAATTATACGACATTTGTTCATCCTCATTAATTGTGTTGTTTTCATCATCATTATTATTCAATAAAATTTTTAAAATTAATTTTGTAGTTATAAATATCGTGTTTTGAAAAAAAAAACCTGAATTTAACAACGCGTATAAGAAGAATGGATTAAAACTAGTGGTGCATAAGACAGTTTAATTGCTTTGCATAAGACCATTTTTATCGTATTCACTTTGATTTATTTGGATCAAAAATTTAATTTTAAAATACTTTAAATTATATTCTTTACATTTAGCACAGAAGCTTAGCAAGAGAAATTATTAGATATAAAATATCCGGCATTTTTTTCTATTTTTTTTAAGTAAATACTCCGTGTCCTTATTTATAATCTTTATATTATATCTAAGATCTATTTTTCCCCTTATTAAAATTTCAACATTCACCATATTGAAAACACTAATCATTATTAAGCAAGATCTAAATCCTCTTTTGTAACATTCTAATGTAATATATATATATTAATTAGTTATTATTTAATTTCAATAATTTATAGGTATAATAAATTAATTAATATTTTAAAAATGACTACTTTGTTTTTAGCGTATTTTTAGAATAAAATAACTACAATAAAATATATTTAGATCTCATATATTTAAAATTATATTTGAAAATTCTTCGATATTAAATTTATATGAGTTTATTTATTATTGTAAATATCCTTCCTTTAATTTATAAAATAAATAAATAAGACTGTTATTTTATCTTTTACTTGCTTTAAGTAATTTTGTTAATTATAGCCCCGAGTTATGTACAGTACGTACCTTTTGTTTATTGTTCTGGTATTTATAATTATCTAAAACCTGAAAATTGTAGCAACATAAATCATTATTTAATTTCAAGATTATGTTCTTGAAACTTGAACAATAATCCCTTATCAATTATGTAAAACGTATAAAAAATATATATTTTTTTAANTTCTGAGAGGTCTTTTTAAAAGAAACTGGCCTCTATTTAGGCGTTACAGACGTGGAGAAAATCCGGAAAACTCCACGTGGCAGTTCGGGCGAGGCGCGAACCCGTGACCGAACTGCCAGTGTTCAGGGAACGCCACTTATATGTAAGCCCACTCACTTAGGGAAAGCGCTATCATTTTATAGGCTAAATTACTTTCAATAAATACAATAAATAAAAATATAGTATGTATGGCATAGTAACAAAATATTGTACTACTATTCTTGATGTTTAAATTTAATTTTCTAGTTCTCTATCCTTTACATCAAGTTTCCACTACCTGGACCGTATTTTATAACACGACTATCTGTACGTTCGACTGTCAGACTCCATAATGTTATTTCATCAAATTTAAATCAATGTTGTTGTTTATTTATAGAAAGGTCTAAGCCATTTTACATTATAAAAATAGAATTACTAAAATTGCATTTATTTGAAATGTTTTTAATTAAAAATAATTAATCACAAAAATTAACAATGAAAAAAATCATGTCTATATAATAGAAATGCTATGTACAGATAACATTCATAGCTTTTTCATTTACACATAAATTATATACATATTTTACTAACGTAATTAGCATATTCCAGACATAAAATTGTCATGAAAAGTATAATTATAGAGCCTAGACTTAATTTATCATTTCAAATTAATTATAATTAATGATCATAAATGTCATTTTTAATTAATTGTATTATAATCATTTTATAAATGACAAATTATAATTAAATCGTTTTATGTATTAATGATTAATTTTCAGAAATGAATTTTTATTTTTCACGTAAAAGATTATAATATAAAAGCTTTATATTAAGTTCTATAATTAAAATAAGTCATTGCATAGATATAAATATCTAAAATCATTTTAAAATTATAAATGTTTGTATTTCAATAGGTTAAATTCAGGCAAATTCTATTTAAAAAGAATTTCTTTTTTAATATCATACGACAGTTCGATTCAAATTTTAAAGATACTTTAAAAAATTAAAGTCCAAATTCAAAAATGTAAAACAAAGTCAAAACAATCCATTTATCAGAGAATGGATTCAACTTCCATCAGAGTTGAAATCTCTATCTATTTTCTTTTTGTCTTTTCTTCTATATTTCATGCATAAGGCTGCTAAAACTCTCTTTTATTTTTCCTCCTGAAATCTATCTTTTTCTTTCTTTTTTACTATCCAACATCAAATAATATTTCATATTTAAAATTGAGGCATTTATCTAAATACTCTGGATGACAACAAAACCAAATTAGTACGCTAATGTTTCTTAGAAAGGGGTTTTTTTTACCCCCTTTAAAACTATATTACTGTGCTGGATCATTTTTCTTTCTTCCAGGGATAATATCCTATGGTAATTTATATGAGACAAAGACTTTTAAAAATATTTGTATTCCTTATTTAAAAAATGAATATTTTTATTAAGAAGCATGGTTTAAAATATTACCTATTTTCTTTACCTTAGTTACATTATTTATTTATTTACAAACTTAACTTCTACAAAATGATTCTTAAGAAGAATTAATGATTAAGTTGTTACCATTAAACAATTTATTTTTAATCATTTTAAATATACTCTAAAATGTGTACTTAATATTCTTTAACATTATTTTAAATATGCGTAATTTCTTTAAAGTTTGAAACTTGATATTATCAATTTTACATTAAGTTCCATTTGCAGATTATATCGATTCTAAGGCGTTTTAAGATATAATTATATTTTTAAAAATATTTTTATAAAAGCTGATTATGTTTAGACGATCAAGTACTTTTAGATCTAATTAATTTGAAAGAAGTGCAATTAAAAATGCTCATTAATATTCATTAAGCACGTTCATCCAAGCTTATGTTATTATCCTGGATATTCGTCCGTCTGTAAACACTAACTCGTTTCTATATTATATATAAAAATAAGACATAGAACTGTTTATTTGTATTTCATGTTAGATAAATTTCTAATTTAATAAGCATAATTATAGAACTTTTAATATAAAAATTTATTTTAAAAAACTAAGAATTAAAGCTGAATTTTCTGTAAAAAAAATATTAAAAAATGTATCGCTAAAACTGAAATTTAATTACAATTTAATGAAGCTAAAATAATGATTCATTATCCATGTAATCCAAAAACTGAAATTTTAATTATAATGAGTGCACATAAGAAAAAAGAAAGATTTATTTACAAGATTAGAAATGAAATATCATTTCAAGAAACTTTGAAATAAATTATGAAGATTTGTTGCAAATAAAGATTGCATTATATTAGCTTTATTTAATAAAATAATTATTTGTATGCGAAACATAAATCACAAAAGTCAACAAGATAATTAACCGGGAACTGCATTTTAATGTGTATAAATCAATAAGAATCAGATTTCACTTTAATAACTCAATTTATCATTTTGCGTGAACACTTCTTTTTATTATTTACAATTATTTTAAAAACTTTTCTGTTTCTAAAACAGAAAAGTTTTCAAAATAATTGTTAATAATAATAATCAGTTTTCAAAATAATTGTTAATAATAATAATCAGTATTCACGCAAAATGATGATCTAAAACAGAAAAGTTTTCAAAATAATTGTTAATAATAATAATCAGTTTTCAAAATAATTGTTAATAATAATAATCAGTATTCACGCAAAATGATGATCTAAAACAGAAAAGTTTTCAAAATAATTGTTAATAATAATAATCAGTTTTCAAAATAATTGTTAATAATAATAATCAGTATTCACGCAAAATGATGATCTAAAACAGAAAAGTTTTCAAAATAATTGTTAATAATAATAATCAGTTTTCAAAATAATTGTTAATAATAATAATCAGTATTCACGCAAAATGATGATCTAAAACAGAAAAGTTTTCAAAATAATTGTTAATAATAATAATCAGTATTCACGCAAAATGATGATCGATTTAATTTTTTTTTTTTTTATTTAGTTTGAATAATTTAACAAGAAACTAAGAAAACATCAGGCTAAAATTCTAGATATAATTATTTTCAAATATTAAAGAAAAAACAAAAATTAAAAAAATCAATTGTGTAAAGCACTGTTGTTTGGTCTAGTAGTGTCTCGAGGGCTGCAAAGATGCTTTTTGACAAAAAATACAACTCATAATATTGCTTTAGGACATATATATGTGTAATAATAATAACATATAAATTATATAGTGCAAATGTGTATGTGTATATAAACACACAACTAACTAATTGAATATTCAAATTTAAAAAGTGTGAAATGAGAATATGCAAGTATCTTGTATGGCTTTCTAGGCTATATCGCCCCGTGGTAAACTGTGATGTAATTGTCATGTAATAGTAGTAGTATGCGTTTATGATGGTCGTTACGCGGGGAATAATGACTTCTGAGAGGTCTTTTTAAAAGAAACTGGCCTCTATTTAGGCGTTACAGACGTGGAGAAAATCCGGAAAACTCCACGTGGCAGTTCGGGCGAGGCGCGAACCCGTGACCGAACTGCCAGTGTTCAGGGAACGCCACTTATATGTAAGCCCACTCACTTAGGGAAAGCGCTATCATTTTATAGGCTAAATTACTTTCAATAAATACAATAAATAAAAATATAGTATGTATGGCATAGTAACAAAATATTGTACTACTATTCTTGATGTTTAAATTTAATTTTCTAGTTCTCTATCCTTTACATCAAGTTTCCACTACCTGGACCGTATTTTATAACACGACTATCTGTACGTTCGACTGTCAGACTCCATAATGTTATTTCATCAAATTTAAATCAATGTTGTTGTTTATTTATAGAAAGGTCTAAGCCATTTTACATTATAAAAATAGAATTACTAAAATTGCATTTATTTGAAATGTTTTTAATTAAAAATAATTAATCACAAAAATTAACAATGAAAAAAATCATGTCTATATAATAGAAATGCTATGTACAGATAACATTCATAGCTTTTTCATTTACACATAACTTATATACATATTTTACTAACGTAATTAGCATATTCCAGACATAAAATTGTCATGAAAAGTATAATTATAGTGCATTTATCACAGTTTTTGTAATTAGTTTAATATTTAATTTGTCAGCAATTTTTAATGAAG